GTGGCTGCCCTGGCATTCGATCCAAAGTTTAATAAAACATGCCAGACCCCAAAGTGGTCACCTTAACATTAAAAAAACAAAAAATTTTTGTAGACTAGCCAGATCTGTTGTTTGTACGTATGCATTCACGATATAACTACTTTCGGTTGTTATAATTTGACCAGCCTTGTACATACGTACGTACGTACGTACGTTCATACATAGTAGAAGTACTGTAACTGATCGCAATATTAAAATGTCTTAATTTGTAATGTGAAATCAGCACTAACAAGAATGTTAATGCAAATTGGTAATGTTTAGGTTTTACCTTATATCCTTGCAAGATGTCGTTAAGGCAAATACAGTCAGATCTCTCTAAATGCATTGCGGCGGGACCATATGCAAAAATGGAGTCAAATGTGCATTTAGAGGGTACTGCATTTAGTGCTATATTAGTTGGTCCCAAGGTAAGACGTGCATTTAGGGAGGCGTGTATTTAGGGAGGTTGCATTTAGATACTTTTATCACTACATACACAGTATTTAACATTTAGGTTAATCATTTTTTTAAGATCAAAAGCTGTATTCTTTATTTCCAATGAAGCATTGCTCTCTTTCGCGATTTGATAACCAGAACTGCTTCCTGTATTCCAACTAAATAAAACAAAAAAAATATTGTACCAAATAAAAAAAAATAATAAATATCATACCAAATAAAAAAAAAAAAGAAATTCATGATGAACACGATGTTTACAGTACTAGGATTGTTGAAAAAAAGATAAGATTGAAGTTTGTTTTTTAGATTTATCTTTTTCATATTGCCATTCTTTGAGCTTTTTCTGTAACACAATTAACTCATTCTTATCGAATCCTTTTTCAACGTTGAGGCCCTCTTGGTATCTTATAACTTTCTCTAACACCTCAACAGCCTCCGTTATAGTTATCGAGAGTGGTGGTTCATCTTCATCATTATCCTCATCATCAGTTTCATTATCACGAAATTCATCCATTACCATTTCAATAATACCTTCATTCGTTAGTACATCTTCTGTCGCGGCTGGTTGGTCAATCATTTGGATATATTCTTTGATATTATTTGATAATTCTTGAACTACCAGGTTATTTTTAGCTGAAAGGTCTTCAAGTAGCAGAGCAGCATCATCGTCATCATTAATGGTCTCATCATGAAGTTCATTATCTAATTCACATTCCTCTGGCTTGCCTGTTTTTAGCATAATGTTGGTAGCTCACCAGCAATTCCTTATGTTGTTTTCACTAACTTCTCCCCAAGCATCAGAGATATAATCAATGGCTTGTTTCAAGGAAAGTTTTTTATATTATGTAAAACTGTTAGTATCTAATGATTTAAAATGGTATTAAAAATTTTTTTTATGATTTATTACAGAATTTTATAACAAAAACAGTTGTTCACAAAATTTATTACCGTGGCTGATGCTGAAATTTGGACCTATTTTGATATGAAGTTTTAAATTTTTTTTGGAATTTACGCTTGGTTAGGATTTGGATTAGAATTTATAATTAAAGTGGATATCTGAATTTTAGCAAGTCTTATATTTTCGAGACCCCAAATTTCAGCATCAACTGCGATATTTATTTTTGTTGGTTCTTTTCTATTACACCTAACCCGAATGATTAAAAGTACAATAAAACCTCTATAAATGCACACATGCACTTGGTATTGTTGTACATCAAGATAAAATAGAATAAAACTTATCTGATTTGTTATATTTATAATGTGATTTTATAGAGGGTAATTTTATATGGGTATTATATAATTGGTTACCAAAAAAATGTGATAGTGACTATAAGGCAATTGTGCCTATATAGAGGTATAAATAATATAAAAAAGGTTGGTAAAAATAAAACCGTGATTATATTGATTTTGTGACTATAGAGGAGGTGACTATAGAGGGGGTAGACTGTATATAAATAAATAAATATATATATATATAATACTGTATATAAAATTTGAAGATAGCCATTCATTTCATATAGTTTTTGGTTTAACAAATACCAACAATATCAAACTTCATGATATTTAAGTAAGCTTTGTAATAATTTATTGGATAACTTAAACAACGTTCAGATAAAATTTAACTAAATGCTAATCTATTAATTAAACTGTTTAAATTAAATTTCACATAAGTTACATGTTTATTTTTTTTTTTGGGAACAAATTTATGTGTTGGACTATTCGATGGACTGTTTAAAAAAAGCTCGGACACCTAAAATGTGCAACACTAGTTAAAGTTATTAAGCACGCACTCATCAAACAATTTCTTTTATACGATTATAAAAAAAATGAGGTATACAAAATATTATAGCAAAATATAAAAGAATAAGAAAAAAATAGATTTGTTACACGTAATATCTCTGCGGCTAGCTAATGATGTTAGGTTATAACCTAAATTATATGATTCCCTTCCGTATTCTGTTATAAATAATCATTATCATAGTTTAGTTAAAGTCATGAGCGCTCTTATAAAAGTTCGTGCCAGAATAAACACCGGTATCCTTAAACAGTTAAAACAGTGCAGTACTTACTTAACCTATATACGGTACGTGTAAATTTAGTTTTCTTCAGAATTCGTACTCTTTTTTTTTGCAATTACTTGTTTGAATGTTATTTTTATTTTGTTAGCATTTAGTTCATTTTCAACATTATTCACCAGATCATCGAATTCTTCAAATGAAATGTTCATAAAGGGAGCCAAATAACTTCTCGCACTTCTATAAAACATTAGAGTAATTTCGAGCTTAAACTCTCCCATAGTATTGCCGCTTCCGACTTGCATTTCTTCTATTCGACGCGACATGGATTCTGTTTTTCCAGTCTCTTGAAGGTAATTTTCAAGGTTTGGATTTATGTCATAATCAATATTTTGTGCCGTAAGCCATGAATGCCCTAAATGGTTACGAATAAGTTAATATTATTTCATAATAAGTGAAGCCTCCTAAATGCAATTCTTCTTAATGCAGCGCCTCTTTAATGCAACTTCAAAATTCTGGCTCAAATATCAGTTTGACTCATAAATGCAGTTTAAATGTATATTTTTTAGAATAAATGCGCGATAAACATACATGCGTTAGTTAACCGTGTATATCCTAGTCCAGGAATAAGGTCCGTTTTACACGAATATACAACCTAATATAAATAACGTTAGAATCTGTAACAATAATAATAAAAACCTCTCTTTCTCACCTCTAACCAACCACCAGGCTTTAATATTCTAAATATTTCCAATAAAACTGCCCGAAATGTATTTGTTGTCATAAATAACAAATTATCTTTAGCATAAACGTAATCAAATTCATTATCAGGAAATGGTAGCTTTTTAAAAATATCGCATTCAATCAACGTAATATTAATATTATTGCCGTCATCTCTAGAATTTGGTACGGTTGAATCAACTGCATAAAATTCTGTATCTGGATATTCGATAGCAATCTAATGTAGTATGGAAGTTAACCACAAAAAAAAATAATAATAAAAAAATAAAATAAATAACCAATATTCACAAAATTGTAGTATGCTAAATACCTCTCGAGTCCAAATTCCAGAATCACAACTTTTTTAAGGAAAATTTAAATTAATAAAGTATTAGCTTTTTTGGGAAGTGCTATAAAATAACAAAAATATAATTTACCGATATTCTAATACTTTAGCACCTTTTTGTAACTTTTCATGAACTGGAGCGCCTATGTTGCCATTAAACAAATGCTCGTAGAAATAATGCACATAAAATCTAGTATCGCTTAATTTCTTTTCGTCTTCGACAGGAGTGTGAAAATCTTTTTCAGATGTATTCTCATATTCCTCAATTTGTGAAAAATGGCTCATTGTGAAAGTTCAGAAAAATAATTATCTGAAATGCGATTTATTTATTTACTCCTGAACTCGGTGCGTTCATATGTAAAGATAATGCTAAAAAGACACCATAAACGGGTAGACAGAAAATGTCATGGTCTTCTGATTGCAACCATTCAAGGCATTACTTTTATATTAGTCAAATAACATTTTACTTTTTTAGGCTGGTCGGCTATCATAAATCATGAAATTCTTTTGCCTTAATTAATATACCACCATCATAAATAATTACTGATTAGAATATTATTTGCTTATTAAACATTATCCAGACTAACGTTAATTAAGGGTAGAATGTGAGTCTTCTTTTTATGTTTAGTTATTATACCGGATAAAAAAAAAAAAAAGGAAAAAGTGGGTTATCCGATGGGCGATCGAGAATATCTCACATTAGTCATTTTTACTCTAATTTTAAGCAAAAAAGGTGATCTAACAGAATCGAAAGCTTTTATACTACGTATTAGGTAAGTACTGTACGTACGTACGTATAGTGTAATGTATAATTTTTCCTAGTGTCTCTCACTTCCGTATTTGTCTAATTCTGTTACAAAGTGCCGATTTGCCACGATCAATTTTTAAATGATCAACGCACCAAATTTTATATGTAAAATTTAGGTAAAATTTCCTTAATAATTAAAGTTGTCGATTTGATTTCTAGTTATCATTTCGCAAATTCTCTAGCATTCGAAGGTTCTTATTACGAAATTTTAAAGGTGGCCAAAAATAAATTGAGAAGAATCATGGTCAAAAAGTTAGGCTAAGTTTTTAATTAAAATTAGAGTAAGAGTTAGTTTGTGGTTTGGGTGAAGGCAAGTCTTATAGTAAAATTGCCTTCCTAATACCCCGAGATAGGTTTAGTCACTCGTTTCTTATATTTTTTAGATTTTGCACTTTTTTTACTTGTTTTTTTCGTTGGGCAGATCCGGGTTGATTAAAATAAACAACCTTATTGGCCGTGTAATGCACATGGTTTTAAACGGGGTGTAGAAGTTTCGTACTGTATTTGGTTATTGAATGTACTGTACTGTACATAAATATAGGCGTATTATAATGTGCACCCGTACAGTACTCCTTTTCATTATATAAAATGTAAATGAGTACTGTACTGTATTGAATAAAAATTATAATCGTCAGTACAGTACGATACGTTAAGCCTTTTAATATCATTACCGAAAGCAATTTTACCGCGAAGCGAAACCCAGTTATCGAGGAGTTAAGTTTTTTGCTTACCGGACTTACTAATTTGTTAGGATTATGACCGGTAAATTATATATTTTAAATAATTTATTACGTAGATAAATACAGTATATACGATTGTTTAACCATAATAGGTTAACCTCATTGATTAATACTGTAAAATCTCACCGTTTAAAGCGTTTCTAGAAGAAAATCTTTTCTAATGTTTTCAATCGCTTTTCCCAGAAAAATTTTCATAAGAATAAAGGTAGGACGTCTGGTAATTGACGGAGTTTAATGAGTTTCTACTACGTTTAAATATTAAGCCAAATATTAGATTTATAAATTGTTAAACCATGAGTATTATACTAACGTAAAATTTTATGCATCTATTTAACAGGTTAAGCAATTTAGGACTTTTAACAAGACTTAATTTACTCGAACTACAATACATATATATTATTTATCAAACAAAGAAGTCTCTAATATATAGTAAATACTGTAGTGCGGTCTAATTAAACTAAGAGTAGCACCATGTAAATATAGCAACATGTTTTTAGTAAAATCCAATGGTTAAACAATAAAACAGAATTACTTTGACATTAGGAAAGATTCGATCATAATAAATTAATTAAATTGATTGCCAATAATTATGCTTGGTTCTACATACATTAGCCAATCACATAAACTACCCAAAAATTTGGCGAACTTATCAGCTTATCGGCACAAGATCAACAAATCAGGGACCAAATGTTGTGTAACTTTTAATTTGTCGGCACAAGATTTGAACGAAGGTAGAGGAACAACTTGAGCAAAATTGATGAATTTTTGTTAATTTTAATCGTATAAATTTGTAAAAAGAATTCATAGATTTTAGTAAGGTGGTTGTTGAGATATGGGAGCTTTGCTAGGAAAATCACCCTTCGACATTTTCCGATCGGGCTAATTCGGACAAATTCGGACAAATTCAAACCAATATACCAGTACTTATTTGCATGTAAATCATTTTGTCTTTATTGATTCAAACGTTCATTCGATAAACTATTGAATTAATAATGGCAAAAAAATGATTTACATATAAATAAGAACCGGTATGTTGGTTTAAAATGTTCCAAATTTTCCCGATCGGAAAATGTCGGAGGGTGATTTTCCTAGCAAAGATCCCATATAATAGGTGCAAAACCACCATAGGTGCGTTTATAATAATTGTTTTTAAATTTAGTACTATTTTTACAATAAAAGTACGCTTCACAACATCCCGTGATGCGACGGGTGTAAAAAAAAAATTGATTTCTACCAATTTGTAAATTAAAAGTCACATGACACATATAAATGCTACAGGGCTTTAGACGACCTCCAAGGGGATTTGTATTAATATCCTGGGTGTCTAAATTATTTCGTAAATTTAAATGGCTAAATTATTTCAGATAGTCTAAATCGTAAATAATTTGAAATGTCAAAAATAATTCAGTTTGTAAAAAAAAGTTCTAGTGCATCAAATATTTTCGATGTCTAAAATATTTTTGCCATTTCAAAGCGTTATAATAAAAATTAAATAATTCTAAGAATGGATGATAATAAATATTAATGATTAGAACCATTTGGCCGTATAAAAATTGTTTCATAATGTCAGACAGAATTATGCATATTTGTGCCAGAATTATCTTATTGTCAGATAAATTAAATAGTTAGGCCGCTTGAAGTTGAAACTTTGTTTAACGTTATCCCCCCCTCCATCTCCCGGGTTCCCCCCAAAAATTAAACAAATAGAAATGAAAATTTGAAGCAGTCGGGTTTTTTCGGTTTACGTCGGGATTTCTCGATACACTATGTTTAATTTTTATGTTTGTTTAATTTTCATCCCTCCCCCCCCTCTATAAATACGAAAAAAAATAACGTTAAACGAGGTTTTAATTTCAAGTCGCCTTAAATGAATACATATTTGTAATGACATAATACAAATAGTTCTTTTACTGTCATGTACTTTTTTCTTCATAGTACTTATGGATTTACAAGTTACAATTTTCTATCACCAATGAGAAATAAGCAGAGTTTGAAGAACAGAGATGTCCATGATACAGTAAAAGGCTCTTATTTCATAATATTTAAAACATTTTTAACTTAAAATATTCATATAAAATATTCAAAAACGTCCAACTATAATAGAATGGGGATTTCTTTTAAGAAAAATGCTACAAATTAAATTAAGCCACTATCTATATTCGAGATGGCATGGACGCATTCTATTTGTTAAAACAATTATATTTAAAATATTTTGCATATGTATATAAAATTTGATCATACTTTGTTGAACACACACATGTGAAGCGTATGTTTAATCAAATAGTCATAATTACTTTTTTAAAAATTTTCTAGACCACAAAATGGCCTATACCGTTTTCTAATTTAAAAATAAAATATGGTAATTAATAATCGAAATAAATTGAAAAATGATGCGAAACATGCATATATTTTAATATACAGTCTACCTCTATATAATTACCAAGTCCGTCACCCCTAATGTGGTGATTGTATAGAGGTGTAACTATAAACAAATATCAGATTAATATCATATGATCTTTAGCCAATAAATGATTAATTGGTAATTCATTAGTCATGAATGTCCTACATCTAAAATTGTAGAGCTCATTAAGACGAATCTAATGGTGGTTAAATCATCAGAATCGGCCCAGTGGGTGCTGAGATTTCAGGTGAGACCGTCCCCAATATGGAAATAATGACCTGAGTCACCCGATTGTTACACAACTAATAAACAATTTTTTTTTATATGTTTTACAATACTATATCCCGACCTATGAAATTCGCAAGTTTTTGATAATAAGAATATTAAAAATTTGCATAAGAATTTGTAAATTATGCGTGCGGTATATACAAAATATTCGATTTACTGATGATTATTAAAAAAAAAAAACTTAAATACTTAATAATTATGCGATAAGAATAATAATTATGCGATAAGAATTTCTAAATTATGCGTGCGGTATATACAAAATTTGTATTCGATTTACTGATTATTAAAAAAAAAACTTAAATACTTAATTATGCGATAAGAATTTGTAAATTATGCGATTTACTGAAATACTGCGCACACCAAAAAACTTTCGATTTTTTCAAATATTGCGCACACCCAAAAAAACTTACAATTTTTAAATACTGCGCTCAATTAAAAAAACCGCTACTTTTTTTTCTTAAAGACGAATGTATTTTTTTGATATTAAAATATTTATTTAATAAAAAAGATAATTACATAATTTTTTTTTAATAAAAAAAACACTACAACTCAAAAAAAGATTTTTTTGCATTTTCTAAATTCTCTATTGTTGCTGCATCGTCGATTGCTATTTCGGAATTATCCAAATCATCCTCAACTACGCCCTCAAAATCTTCTTCTATAAATTCATTTTCACCCAACTTTTTCCTCATACTTACCCGTAAAGCATTAATATTTTTTGAAACCTCACCCCGAAGATAATCAAGACAAATCAAACATTTTAAATTACATTTTTCTAAACAATAATCGTGATAACCATGCCCACATGCAAGAACTTTTCCATTATCTGAGTAGTTAGAACAATTGGTGCGGTCGCAATGCACGTAATCGCATAAGACGGTTGTAAAAGGCTTTCTTGACGTAACGAATCCTCTTGGTAAATGGCGATCCGTTATTTCATAACCTAAAGAAGGCAAATTATAAGTGTTAATATTGTCTGATGAACTAATAATAGAAGAATATAGATAGCGTCCTCGATATATCTTCTTAAACGTGTTTAGGAGTATTG